CCTAGCTTCTTCTCTCACCACAGTCACAGACTTTTCCCACTGACCTTCTAAGTTGTCTTTGGCGTTTGTGAGTTGAGAAGTCTGGAAACCGCCACAGCTGCCCGCAATTCAGTCCTCTGACGCCTGCTGCAGGATCGCTGCGGCCTGCACACCCATGCTGAACTGCGCTCCTCTCCCTGCCTGGCGTGATATACCTTTCCAATCAGCCATCCAGGTTGTCTTGGGCTGGAAATTCGTTTTACTCTGGGTTTTTTTGTGGGTTCTGCTGCTTGAGAATTTGTTTAGAGCCATTTTTATAGGTATTTGGAGGGGTTTGAGGGAGAGCTCAAGCAAGTCACTGCTTTCTCTCCGCCATCTTGACTGCACCCCGAATCTCCACCTCCCTTCTTAAAGTCATAAATTTAGTCTTTACTTAGTATATGATACCATAAATTTCTGCAGACTGGGGGAAAAAAAAAGATTCATGGCCATCTTGGGTGTCTTGTCTCCTACCTAACTTGACCAGAATTGAAAAACAGAGGGAGAGACTGTCTTTTTGAAGGCTTTGCAAGTTCCACAGAAAGGTTTTCATTCCCTTTACACCCTTTTTCCTTTAGCTGATCAAGCCACAGGAAACAGTCTCTTTAGATTTAGCAAGACGCAACACCATCTCCTGTAGAGGAATCCCGGAAGGTCCCTCGGACTGCCCAGGTCCCCGGATTGTATGTGACAATCAGCCCAGACGCCTCTTACAGGGTTGGTAGCTCCTCTCATTTCCCTGCCAGGCTGGCGGAGCAACAGCAACCGTAGGAGGCTGGTTAGATAGAAATCGCAGAACCTCTTACCTGCCTGGGAGTGGCTGCTTCTCCACACGGTGGTTCTGCTCTGCCTCACGGGCATCCAGGGAAGCCCTTCCTCATCACCATGATTGTCAGGTCACAAAAACCAGGAGGCAAAAACAATCTCAAGTCAGTGAGAAGTTTCCTGACTGTCCCGTGCAGTAGCCTGAACATAGGCCGATACATGCATGTCAGTAGCCTGCAGGAGATCACAAAATTCCCCCCAAATTTCCCCAGTGTTTATACCCTCGATCAAATACCTCTTATTTCTTCCCTTCACCAAACATTGCTCCCCAGTTGACATGATATTGATGCAAGTTCATTTCCTTATTCTGAAGACATTCTATTTTGGAGAACCATCCAGATGTCTTCTTTCACTCATGCCTACAGTTTATGAGCCTATTTCCTCCTGTTTTGGTTTTGCAAGCTAGTGGGACGGCATGAATTATTTCCCATTATTTCATCATTCTGTTACAGTCAGACACAAAATATAACCTTTATCACTGACCTCCATGTTCCAGAGAAAGGCATGTCCCCATGGAGCATATTCATAACGTTTCCTCCTAGTATGAATCCTCTGATGAGGATAAGAGATGATCTCTGGCTGAAGGCCTTCTCCCATCGAGGCCATAAATGGCTTGCACCCAGAATTCCCTGCTAAGAAGCTCCATACTCCATTTCAATACCTTTCCTCAGTCATGTCAGTAATAAGATTTATATCTTATGTGAATTCTCTGATGTGAAAGGAGGACTGACTTTAGCCTGAAGGCTTTACCACATGGATTGCATTCTCTCCAGTGTGGATTCTCTGATGGTTAGCAAGATGAATTTTCTGTGTAAAAGTCTCTCCGCATTGATTACATTCATAACGTTTCCCTCCAGTGAATTCCATGATGTTTAGCAAGAGTGGAGCTGTCTCTGAAAGCCTTTCCACATTGATTACATTCATAACGTTTCCCTCCAGTGTGGATTCTTTTATGTAAAGCAAGATTGGCTCTGTGTAGGAAAGATTTTCCACACTGATTACATTCATAAGGTTTTTCTCCAGTGTGGATTTGTTTATGTAAAGCAAGACTGGAGCTCCATCTGAAAGCCTTTCCACATTGATTACATTCATAAGGTTTCTCTCCAGTGTGAATTCTCTGATGTACAGTAAGACTTCCCTTCTGTGTAAAAGTCTTTCCACATTGATTACATTCATAAGGTTTCTCTCCAGTGTGGATTCTCTGATGTTTAGCAAGACTGGAGCTTCTTCTGAAAGTGCTTCCACATTGATTACATTCATAAGGTTTCTCTCCGGTGTGGATTCTCTGATGGTTAGCAAGATGAATTTTCTGTGTAAAAGTCTTTCCGCACTGATTACATTCATAAGGTTTCTCCCCATTGTGGATTCTCTGATGTTTAACAAGACTAATCCTATGTGTAAAAGCCTTTCTGCATTGATGACATTCATAAGGTTTCTCTCCAGTATGGATTCTCTGATGTATAGTAAGACTAGAGCTGCCTTTGAAAGCCTTTTCACACTGATTACACTTATGAGGTTTCTTTCCAGTGTGGACTCTCTGATGTTCAGCAAGACTGGAGCTGCCTCTGAAAGCCTTTCCACATTGATTACATTCATAAGGTTTTTCTCCAGTGTGGATTCTCTG